GCCTTATGGTTGCAGAATGTGACGTGATTAATTTGTATGGCTTAGTTTTGGGGAGCTGCTTTACTCAACAGTGACCTTCCTGGGAAGCAGGGAGCTTTACAAATTGAAAAAAGAGAACTGTCTGCAGCTACTTCAGGCTGAGCAAGTGTGAAGAACTAACTCCTTGGGACGGTGTAGCCGGAGCTGAGATCCACAGTGCTGTGTGGAGAGCTCCCACGTGGCTGTCCTCTAGGCCCAGGCACCTAGACCCAAGTGGCTTTCTATATCTGTACCTGCTTGTAAGTGCAGGGCCTTTTTCTGAACCTGTGATCTCGTCCTGGTTGCTGAAGGTTCTGGACATCCTGCAGCACATTCAGGCTTTGGACCCATCCCAACACGGGACCGCGCGGTACCTGGTCCAGCACACCCTGGAGCACATCGAGCGGCGCAAGGAGGAGGTGGGCCCCGAGGTGAAGCTCCGAGCGGACGAGAAGCACAGAGAGGTCTGCTTCTCTGTGGGGCTCATCATGAAGCACAAGAGGTGAGCTCCTCCAGACCTTCCCTGTGCTAGCAGGCTGCACTGTAACAAGTGCAAGATGTTTGTTCTCACACTGATGAAACGTGATTTTATCTACCAAGAAGGTATCTGGAAAAGAAAAAGCCAGGCATACGCAGCTGCGTTGAATATCACTTAGAAAAATGGGAGCAGAGCTCTCTGTCTCTTGGGAGATGGAGCACACTGGCCGCTGTTGGCTTGTGGAGAGGTTTGTGAGGTGACTCACCTGAGCCATCGTGTGTCACGTAAGTCGAATTTCCACAGCACAAAGCTCTCGGGAAGCATCATCAATCAGTTAACGAACTGCTGTGGTTTCTAGAGGACTGCTGGAGCAGGAGCGACTTCGGGAGCCGTGGTAGGGCTCATAAGGTAGCCCTGCCGTCTTCCCCCACTGCACAGAGCTGTCGTGTTCCTGCGTGTCCTGCTCTGCAGGGGTAACGTGCCAGCACTGTGACACCTTGGCCTCGCTCTGACTCAACGAGACCATCTGGAGCACATTTTAGGGTGTCAGCAGTGACAGTCGTGATACCTTACAATTAATCACTTAAATGTTGTGGAAGTAACACTGGCCTTGTGCCTGGGAGTTCGATATTGGGGTTGCCACGGCTTTGTGACGGGAACAAAAGCACTTGCACAACGTGAAAGACTGGTTTGTTCCCTCCCTTTCTTTTTTCTGTTCTCCTGGCTGCTGATATCCCATCTCAAATCTGGTTTTCTTTTGTCCTCAGCTGTTTGTTCTATTTACCCATTTACTCCTAGCCATTCACCCCTCTCCCCAAGGCATGCAGAGAGAAACCCACACTTCTCTTGCACTGGTTTTCCCCTGTTCATCTTGTGGCCAGCCTTCCAGGAGGCTTCTAGCCTGTTTGTGCTCTAGGACTCTGAGGAAAAGAGATGGCTCAGGTGTTTTCATGGCCTTTGTGTTGTATTTTCTTTTAATTAGATATGGCTATAACTGCGTGATCTACGGCTGGGATCCCACCTGCATGATGGGGCACGAATGGATCCGGAACATGAACGTGCACAGCCTTCCCCACGGCCCTCACCAGCCGTTCTACAACGTGCTGGTGGAGGATGGCTCCTGCAGATACGCTGCTCAAGGTGAGCAGGGGAGGCTCCTGTGTCACACAGTCTGTGCAGGAATACAGAAACACAGAAACACAGCTAGCTCTGAAGCGACGAGTATTCGACCTGTGCTAGGGAGAAGGGATGTGCCCTGGAAGCGGTCCTTAGTGATCACTTCTCTTAAGTCTGAAGCATAAGCTGCAAGTTAAGATTATTTTGAGGCAGAAAGTAAAATGATCCTGAACTAATGGCCTGTTTTGTTTGCTCTCAAGGAGATGGTTACTGCTGGGAAGGAAAGCTGAGGACCGCTTTTGTGTAATCTCTCTTCGTGTAGAAATACATGGCTTATGCCATAAAAGCCAATCATATCCATAGCACGATTTCTGCTTTTAAAAGGCCCGATTCAGGTTCGGCCAAATCTGTGAAATTTCTGTGAAACTAGTTGTGCTTTGGGAAGAACCTCAGAACAGGGTCTAAGGAGAGAGTGTGTGGGCTTTCCTCGTCAGGGCTGCACCATGAGACATCCCAGAGAGTGTGGGCAGCGGGGCTCTGAGTGCCATCTCTAGCAAGAGGGACAAAAGGAAATGTCTCATCACAAATACTAGGTGAAGAAATCTCTGTTGCCCATTTTTTTAAGAAAGACACTGTTTAAAAACAAATGAAAACAATTGCCATCCTCAGCAGAGCGTTTCTATCTAGTGCTTATTCCTCCCTGTGGAGAAGAAAATGCAGAAACTTTCAAGCAGGAAATGCTGGAGGGAACAAAAATAAGTAACACATTTGAGTTCTTTCGCTAGAGGGTGCTCCCTAGCACTTCCCAGTCCACTCATGGGAGCAGGACGTGGCTTTACAGGAGGCTCCACTGCTGTCTTCCGAGGTGTAAAGTGTGCAGGTTTGTTTGTTCTCTTGAGCTTTGCCTTCTGCTCAGTATAAAAAGACAGTGTGGGGACACGGAATATTGCTCAGCTCAGCCTTATTGCTCATCCTAGACAGCTTTTGCCTTCTCAGTCTTACACAAGTCATGCACGGAGGTATTAGCATGTGCACTGCAGTGAAAACAAATTGGATGATTTTCAACAAGTGCTTCTGCAGCTGAGTCATCTGTTCTGATTTCTTCTATTATTTTTTCCCTTTAATCCCCAATTGTCTCGAGGCAAGTGCAGTGCTGGCTGCTTCCAGGGTACAGCATGTTTTAGCCAAGCTGTGGGCTGGCTCTGCCGTCTCTTTGACTTCGAGAGTTTTGATATCTCTTGAGGAAAAATAAGAGTTTTGTCCTTGCTTACTGAAACCTCCCTGTCTGTTAAGTATCTCCTCCTAAATACACACTCAGGTCATTTGGGAATTGTGTGCTTTGTAACAGGCTTTGGGGAGGGAATGTTATTTTTTTACTGGAGGAATCTTCAATCTGTGTGCAGAGCTTTAGCTAAGCAGCTCAGAAGTAATGCCAAGGGACTGTGCTTGGTGTCTTGAGTCTTTCCTGTAAATTCATAGGTTGAACTGCAGCTAATCCCGTCTGTTCACCTGGAATTCCGCTCTCCGTGCTCCCTCTTGTCCCTGCACCTACCTTGTGGAGGGGTCAGGCTTTGCCTTTGGCGGGTTTGGTGTTTACCTGCGTTCCTGGCAGTGCACTGGGAAAACGGCGTCATGTTGGGCCTGCTCCAGAGCACTTGCCCTTGGGATTTGCTCCTGGGTCACCTTCGCTTTTAGCGCTGGTGTTTTTAAGCATTGTTTAACTGCTGCATTTTATCAGTTGATACCTTTCTTGCACAGAGGAGAAGGTGGACTGCTCTGGGAAATGACCAAGCTGCTCTTCTTAAGGAGTTTCTCTTAGTGGGAGAAGTTTGGGTTAAGAGAAGTTGATTTGGCTGTGTGAGGCATGCCTAAAATCCACGCTGGTGGTCTAAAGGGACAAGGCACTCCCAGCTTTGTGCCGTTGGCAGCACCTGGAGCATTGGAGAAAGGTCTCTGATTGGAATTGATCCCTGTAGGACTGGGGGATCAGAGCTCAATGCTGCAGTTTTTCCCAGCTGGGAGTGACAGGAGCATCGGGCTGTGTCCCCACTGCGACGCTCTCGTGTCTCTGGGCTACTCAGTGCCCAGAGAAAGAAATAAAATAAAATAAATAAAAATGCCAAGACCGATGCGCGGCCGAGTGAGAGCAGGTGGGGTCCGGCCGTAGCCCCGTGCCGGGCAGGAAGGGCTGTTGTGAGCGCGAGACGCTGCTCGTGTCCCTGCCGCCAGCGCCCGCCGGCACCAGTCGTGCCTGGGCTGGGGGTGGTTGTGCTCACGGGTCCGAGGGGGCATTTCTGGAGCTCTGAGAGCCAGGGCTTGCGGAGCACAGGATTTATCATCTTGCAGCAGGGCGTTTCGTGTAGTGATAGCTCTTCTCTTTCCTGACAGAGAAACTGGAATATATCTCTGAGCCTCGGGAGATCCCTCATCCTGACATCGGCCGTTATTTTTCCGAGTTCACCGGCGTTCACTACCTACCAAACGCCGAGCTAGAAATTCGGTACCCGGAGGATTTGGAGCTCACACGTGCCACAGTTCAGAAGATCTACAGTTCAGGCAAGGAGTGAGTGAGAAGGACGTTGCGAGAGCAGAAGCAGCTGGAATGGAGCTTTATCCTCTTGGCAAGCGTCGCCTGGGAGGCGAGTTCGGCGACAATCCTCAGGCCTAACGTGCCGGGACCCGCTCTGCCCTTTGGCACCGGTGCTCCCGCGTCTGCCCTTGCTGTCGCCCGCCTGAGCCCGGGGCACCAGGATGTGCTGGTAGCTGAGGCCAGGCACAGGGACCTTGCAGGGACAGTCGTGCTGGGGAGCACGGCGCCCTTCAGGGAAGGTTTGCACATACTCTTTGTCCTGTGGTTGTCTTGCCTAGACCGTCAATGCTGCAGCATAAGGAAGAATCTCCTCTTTCCAAGGAGGAATTTGCTTCTCCTTGCAGTGTTGTTTCTTGTCTGTCTCACGCCAGTGGTCATTTTAAAATCTCTTAACATTTCCCTGTTGTCTTCTCCAGTCTGAATTTTTGCTCAGATCTTGCTTCTCTGTGGTGTGACCGTTCACAAAGCTGCCATCCTGACTCTGAGCGTCCTTAGGGGCCCTGGCAGCAGTAGGACCCCCTTGGTTGGTACCGCTGACGTCCCGGTGATGGGTTGCCCCAGTGCTCCTCGTCAGAAGAGTTGCTCCCAGCCCGTGTTGTGACCCGCGTTGTGACCCTTGTTCTTTGGTCTGCCCGTGACATGCCCGTGTGCGGCAGGAGCTGCAGGTGCCCCAGGGCGTCTCCGCGCAGCGTCGCAGTGTCTGGTGGCAGCTCTGAGGGCAGTGCCAGCGCGGTGGCTCGGCCTGTGGGGAGCTCCCCGTCACTGCGGTCCCTGATCCATCAGTATCAATGCAGCGGGATGGTGGCTGTGCACCCAGCCTCGGAAGGAGCCAAAGCAGCTGTGCGAGAGCTTCTGAGCCTGCAGCTTGAGGCCTTCTCCTCTGCTGCCAGGAGAACGGACTCCTGCGCCGGTTGGGCAGAGCTGACCTACTCCAGAGCGCCCGCACGAGAGCCCTGCAGCCCAGGGCACGCGAAGGCCAGCAGGACCCAGGGGGTTCCTCTGTGTTGGGCCAGGATGAGGTGCAGGCCCGGCCAGCAGTGGACTCTGAAGCCAGGCCCCAGGGCAGTGCAGCTGGAGCCGGAGGAGGCAGCTGGGCACAGAGCCCGGTGGCTCTGGGATGCACGTGGATCCCTCCAGCCCTGCGTGTCGCCTGTCCGTGCGCCGTCCCCCTGCCACACGGAGCCCGGAGTGAGCAGGAGCAGTAGCGCTGTAAAGCTGAGGCCTTTCAGAGCTTCCCCGAGCAGCAGGGGCGGCCCTGGGGAATTGGGTGCCTGAGGAGATGGAGGGAGCGGGGCGGGTGGTCGTGCCCGAGAGTCTTTGGAGAAGTCCAGGCTGAAACGGATGTGGGAGGGCGAGGAGGGAAAGCTAGAATGGATCCAAGTGAAAGCAAGGTAGGGAAGTACTGGGCAGCATCTCCAACAAAATCCATCCCTCTTGTTTCAATGACCAGAGTAGACTCTTGAAGCATATTCCAAATGATTCCTAAGTGGGAGTTAAGGCAAGGAATGAGGCTGCTGGATCACAGTATTTATCCTCGGGGCAGAGGGTAGGCGCAGAGGAGCAGAGCTGGGGCCTCTGCTCTCACCCTCAGCCTTGGTGGCACTGGCTGCGTGGCTGCCGCAGGCCACATGTCCCCTCGGCACAGGGCGCGCTCTCGAGCTCTGCTTCCTCCTGAGCACAAGGGCCTTCTTGCGCAGCGTGTGCCAGGCCGGGACAGGGCCCGGGGCAGCAGCTGGGCAAGGTTTACCCAAGAACTGCTGCTAGACACAAGGATTTCATCCCGTTGAGCAGGCCCTGTCCTCTGTAAGGGGCGTCCTGCAGCAGCCCCCTCCTGCCCCCCTTGCTGGGAGCACTTCTGTAGCCTAGAAGGAGGCTGGGAGGAAGCGGCGGCGGCTTCCTCTGAGCGCCCCGGCCGCAGCCTCGACAACCGCGTCGCTTGGCGCAGGGCGGCGGCGGCTGCTCGCGCACACAGAGCTCACAGGAGCTCCCGCGCAGCTGGGCCCTGCACGGCAGTGTTTCCATACGCACATGGAGCTCACTGGAGCTCCCAGGGCAGCCAGGTCCTGCACGCAGTGTTTCCCTGCATACCCGGAACTCACAGAGCAGCCGGGCCCTGTGCAGCAGCGTCTCCTTGTGCACCCGGAGCTCACTCGAGCTCACAGAGCAGCAGGGCCCTGACAGCTCCCACCACTCGCCTCTTCCGA